TGTGTGTATGTGTGTGTGTGTGTGTATGCCTCTATATGTGTATGTGTGTGTGTGTGTTTGTGTGTGTGTATGTGTGTGTGTGTGTGTGTGTGTGTGTATGTGTGTGTGTGTGTGTGTGTGTCATTCTATAATTACCAATTCACATAAGACAGCGTTACCTTACATCCTCAGTGCACAGCAGCATGGGAAAAGGATTGAATTAAGTCTGCCATCTCTGACTGTCTTGTTTATAAATGTCTGTTATTTTCCTGATTGCCTTAGAATGTGTGTGCCTGTTGGTTAGCCTGAGGGTCAGACATGCTGTCAGCTATCTAACCACCATCGACAACGATACTTGATTTCTAAAGAGTTGTACTTATCAAGCTCAGTCGACATATTCTCACACGTGTCGTCTTTAGGTCACGTGCACGTGTCCTAAATAAGAAACTAGGAGCAGATCAGAAGACAAATATATATACCATTTATGACAACAATGTGTGTTTTATTCACTAATATGACACCAGGTTTCCGTCGCATGGACTGCCTGGATGAATCAGGCCCAATACCTGCACCTAGTACTGATACCCAATAATCTCCTTTCCTGGCACTTAGACCCAGCAATCTAAAGTCCTTTATTTAGTATTGTTTGCAAACTATTCAAGTTGAGACGCTTTAAAATGCAGCTGCGTATTACAGAACTTTACAGAAGTGACTGAGCGTGTGGATTTTAACTTCTTTCAACACAATTGCAATATGTTAACGTCATTCAGATTCTTTAAACCGCCGCTTGAATATTTCAGAAAAACGCCAAAGGCGGCCACATGGTACGGCAAAACTGTACCCTCCTTGGAACGTATGGGAATTTTGAACATACAATGTTGTAAACGTGATGTATTTGCTGTAACTATCCGCTCAATACGCACTTTTTTTGCAAAAAAGAAATAGATAACAACATCATAAACAACATCATCGTCTAGTTCCAGCCTCTGTTTGCTTTCTTCACATCAGGTCTGGTGCTGGATGGTAGGTCAGTTCTGATTGGTCCTTTTCTGGAGGTAGTCTCCCAGGACCCGGAACAGGGTGCGAACCGCCATCTTGAAGTCTTCTTTCGTGACCTTTGACCCTTCACTTTGGTCGTAAACCTGTGGGTGAAAAGGTACTTTGATATTGTTGAACTGCTACAAGAAGTCACGCACTCATGAAGTATCGACTTACCTAACCAATTATGCAACTTTTAAGTTAAAAGTCTTAACTACAATTTCTCGTCCTCGTACCTACAGTATGCTAAATGATGTGAACCTTTACGACTGACGAATCAGAACTGTTTTCATTGATTATGCAAATAGTGTTTTAGTTCATTATACTCTCCACCCAAATAATCAGGACCCAAACTTATGTCACTTCTTTCTCACCTAGAAAGATTGTGGAAAAAAGACAAATCATCCGCATTACACATGACAATGAATCAGTCATGACTGGCGTTAATTTGGATGCTATAAACTCAACAGGCATTGAGATGAACACGGAGTCTGACACACGGCCCCATGTGTTGTAGTAATCATATTTTGTAGACGTCTGTAGCTATAGTCGTTGCTATATTGGAGTATTCGCTCTTCTTAATAACCCAATTATATCTCCCGCCATATTGAAGTAATCGCGTTTATGCCTGTATAATGGATGTCCTTTGATCGCCGATGTGGAGAATCACTGCACAAACGACAACTGTCTAGAAAATATTCTGTTCGCCACGATGACAACAAGACGATTCATAGCTCGTTATCGTCAACCATGACAAGCGAAACCTTATATCAGACATTTTTAGAGTCCGTGAGGCGGTTTGACTTGGGACCGAGTCAATAGATAGGATTCACACAGGCGGTCATTACTGCTTCACACAAGAGGCAATTTGACAGACAACGAATTTCATAGGTAAAGAATGATTTTTTTTACGTCTTGTATGTCCTGTTGTCTTTTAAATCATACTTTTATATCGTCCATCACATTCCAGTTATAAAATCAATGACTACACAAATCCACTTTCGGTCGCCGTACGATCGCTGATCTAGTTGAAAAGGGTCCTTCTAGCTTTAAATTTTCTGTTCAAATATTCATGTGGGATGAAAGTGTTCTCGTACACGCGCACATGCCACGGGAAGCATGAAGGCCACCGATTTTCTAATGCTTTAACCTAAGGTTAAAACAACTCACGCCCTTGTAATTGATTTTAGCACACTCTTCACATCCATGGTAGGCGGGCAGCCATGCTATTTCTAACAACATTAGCCCGTTAGTGATTGAAGTGGCACGAGGCAAAGCTTGGTGGTCTTGTGAGCGTGGATGTGTACGTATATGACCTTGGCCTTCCTAGTTCGAGAGAAAATGAAAGGATCATGGAATGGCAAGACATTTCAACTGCGGAACGTGATTACGTCTAGTTCACAGGAGAGTTGGTCGAATGCTAAGGTGTGAAAGGTATCAATTATAGGACCTATCTGGAAAAACCTGAAATTCGTACTGCATGCAGTACATAGAAAGCTGCTAATGGGACCATAGTCTAAACATTTCTTTGTTTTGCTAGCACCTCCCAACATACCAAATATCATAAAGATCCAACCACAACCGTACCTCTCGAGTTATGCTGTTCACAAACAGGCACACGCGCAGACCTTGACACGTAGACCCAAAAACATAACCTTCTTGGTTGGTTGCTACTTCACAGCCAGTACAGGCCAATGAATTCGAACTTGTAATTCATATCCAATTTGTAGAGTGGCGCTCGTGCACCGTACCAAAAGTATTGAACGTCACTGGCATGCGAATCTGCGTTGCGTTTCAAAGTGCAGTCGCTAGATGTCTCTTACCTCCGCTGCAGGGATACTGTCTGCGGCAGCCTCCGGTGTGAGGAGCTCCGAGGACTCTGCACGCTTGCGGCCCCAGGTGTGCGTGTAGGTGAAGGCTCGGGCACACAGGATCTGTGCCAACAACAGGGCGGCAAGAAGAGCGGGTAGTCTCACTGACATTCTTGGGATTCCTGGAATGAGAGAACAACGAATATGAAATGTTTTCACCGTGGAAAGCACAATTTTCAAACACTACTAGTGTAGAATCTAGACTGCAAAATTGCCGACCGACACAGACAATTCTTTGCTTTTTTCTGACATCCTCCACCTTAAAGTAGGAATACTACGAGTGAAAGATAACGCCAGTTGCAGCTTGCTTGTACATGTTGGATAATGTTATTCTTGTTTAGTGAGGGGAAAGGCGGGAAACTTTGCAATGATGCTTTTCGAGAGTAGGTTGACGAACGAAGACCACAGATTAAAACTAAGCGACAGAAACTTTGCAGAAACTTGCTTCCGGGAAGTCTTCGACGTTGGGTGTGTTTCTTCAATCAGTGATGACTGTCATGGAGATTAACCTCCATGATTGGAAATACGTCATCTGTCAAGTAATCTGACGTGATAGGCTGGCGGCCTAGCTTTGATTTAATACAGTATTTTTTACTGGAGGCTGAAAGTGTCACCTTTATTTATCACTTTTAGGTAGCATTTAGAATTTCTTTCCTGTACATATCTTCTTTTCTGTACGTTCTACTATGACAGACCTTAGGCATGCGCGCGATGCATGCCATGGGCTTGTTTAGATGTGCGGCCGTAGTGTATGTGCCTCTCAGCATTGTTACAAGCTGTCCACTAAAGCATCTCTAATGTAATGCAGGACAACTCCACAATAGGTTCATCGTTTCCTAGTTTATTGATGATGATACTTTCCGTTAAAGCGTGTGCCAGAGTTGAAATCAGCCATTGAATAACGAGTATCGCTGAGCGAAATTCTATCTTTGAGCACACCTTAAAGCATACGCAAAAGTTAATTTTTTCACTCTAGGGAACATTTTTGTTGCGAAAGCCGAAAACAAATTCCCTTCTCTCTGAGATCGAAATTACCTTTTACACCCTTTTCTTTCTGTTGAGAGCCAGGTGTGGGGGATCACCAGGCTTGACCTACGTTTAGCGAATTGCGCGCTGGCGTTTTTATTTCTTCAAAGCGGCCCGCGACGTGAGCTGCTCTCAGCGCTATCCCGCCATCCGTCTGGATTAGAGGTTTTGCCAAGTCGGTTGACACCAAGACCTGCTTTAGTGGCGGCACTGTCGCATTTAATGCCTAATAAATCAATGGATTATGCAGGCTCAGCAATATTGCGGCTAATCTGTCCTTGGGCACTGGAACGGTGTCTGTCCTTGGTGCTGATAACTGTGTTGGGTGGACAAACCTTGGCACCAGTACGGCCTCGCTTGGATTTCTTAACCGTCTCATAGCATATCAATAATTCAGTTGCTTCTTGTGGAATATTGTGTTCATAAACAGTTTTGGTCATCAACAGGCGAGGCGTTGAGAAATAAACCTTTTAGTACTTGAAAAAATGGATTTTTAGGACAAACGCATCTCCCGATCGTGAAATATTTCCAAAATGTGGCTTTTACAAATCGAGAGATGACAAAATTCCTTGGGGTGATCATTGTGTGTTCACCTTTTCTCACACCATCGCCTGTTTAAGTAAAAACACAGGCATTCGTGTTACAAAGCCTTGCAGGCGTGGTTTAGCAGTATGTGACGATCGGAAGGTTAATTTGTCCCCATCATTTTGACCGTGATAAGTAATTGCAAACTTCGATGGTGACCATTATGATATCGTAGTTTCTCACACAGTCACAGATCTATGTAACGGCATAGCAACTCGTGTAACGAAGCTTTGAACGCAACGGCTTTCCCTGATGAGAACCAAAGCACAGTTACACACCACTTAACTAGACATGTTTGAGGAAGGAGCTCGGTCCACTTGATCCCTGATACGTCAAGTTAAGAAATGCCGTGGCCGAATTGAAAAATGCATCTAAAACGCGCTGGCAAAAGTTTTATCTAATGGAGTTGGGAATTCGTTGCCTTGCTACAATAGCGAGATTGTACGCGTGCACAGCACTGGGCCTCAGAATAGATATCGATGAAAAATATGGTACTACTCGTACTACAACTCCTACCACCAATAGTACAACTCCTCCTAATGTGTATTGATACCATGTTTGACATAACATACAGGGCGAAACGTACGTCTAATCTGAAGGTTATGTATATGCTTGTATAGTATGTCTACACGTGATAAATGTAAGGATGCACGAAACTGACATACATGACAGATATACGCCAAAAAACAGTTACTCAAGCAACTGGATATGATTATGGAATCCATATCCAGTTGCTTGAGTAACTGTTTTTTTCGTATCTTATTAGATGCCTAACGTTCACTGACGTATGACAGATATGCGTTACTCATTTTAAGGTATATAGATTTCGCTTTCCTTCCAGCCATGCCAGCCATGTTCTATATGTAAAGAGTATCGCGGACTGCCTTTGCTACAAAAATCACCACGAGTACAACTAGTAACATTTTGTCTCTTTTTGAAACAAAATGACTGT